AAAACAGAGCTTCCAAAACGAACGTAGATGTTGTCGATAAGAAAGTCAATAGCGAGACAAAGCTCTCTACAGGAGAAGTACGTGTACCTCGTTGACGTTCTATCATTCGTCTAAAAGGTGCGAAAATTATTGGTAGCAATGAAGCTCTTTCCTTTAGTATTAAAAACGCTTTCCAAAAGATCATGGAGTTGCTTTTTAAGTTAGGCGTGTGGAAGGCTAGTATAAAGAGTCGAAAAGTCCCAAGTACTCACATGATTTAGGGAAAGCTATTTTTGCTACAGTACACGGGTAACGTCCAACGAATTATTGATGATCCACATGCAGTTAACACCTGTCCTTACTCGAATCGTCTTGCAGTAAGCGGTGCAGTGGGTGCGGACCAGTTTAAGACACTCAGTAATTAATTTAGAGAGCCTAGTTGTAGTGCATGAACTTGAAAACCTGCAATAAATCTTGCCTTGAACGGTGTCTTGCGAAGTTTAGGAATCCAATATATCTGTGGCAAGCTTTTCTCCTTCTGTTGTAATTTGATGTCATGTACATCCTCCAATGTTGTTGCGTGGGTCTGTATTATTTCATCCTCTGTATACGTAGTGATCTGAGATACCCAGGGGACATGTGCCCTTTTGTTTGACCAGATCTTTTCTATTCATGACAATGAGGTCAATCAAAGTTTTAGAATGGTTAGTAATTCTTGAGCTAACAGTTGCTTGATCCTTTTTCCACAAGATGTTGAAGCCTTTCAGATACCTTCCAAATAAATGTGTCCGCTTCTTCGTCCCACAAGCCAAGTGCACACTCGATTGGCAATTCTTCAGTGTATGTCAAGATTTACCATAGAAACTGCTCTCTTGGTTTCCGGTAGTTCAGCTAGTACCTTTTGGTTAGTACTTATACACTTTGTCAATCTAAATCCGCCCCTTGATAGCAACTCTCGTTGCTGTGTCGAAAGCCTACTTCGGTCTTTAGAGTAGTAGCAGACTTAATCAAATGATCCACTTTCATTTTTCTTTCCACGGTTTGGACTACGTCAGGAACAAATTCGGTTACATAAATCGAAGCACTCGTCTTTAGGCTGAAGTTATAACACTGGGCAAGGCCGTTGCACCAAGCAAATGTCTCACCATTCGATATTCTTGTGGCTGCTCAATTAGTTGACCGTCTGGCCACCAAAATAATCTAAACACATCAAGGCCCC